ACAATTAGTTATGAGTTGGTTATTATTCCTAAAGAAACCGCTCATTCTTTAAAGCACTTTGATATCTTTCTTCAACTTTCGCGAATATTTCTGAAATATCAAAGCTTCACCCTCTGATATTATGTTTTGTCTTTTGAGAAACTCAACTTTAAAATGTTGAATAAATTTATTTGATTATAATTTTTAAACTGAATTTCTATAGTTTTAAAATCGTTATAAATATTCATTTCAAAAAGACTTTACCAGATTTTTCGTTCATCTTTCTCTATGTTAAATGAAGAAAGGCTTTGATTTCTTTATATAAATTTATTTATTATATATAGGCAAAATATGATAAAGAACAATTATGCTATCTTGTGGATGAATGAATACGGAGTGGAGTTTCAAAATCGTATTTGTGCCTCTATCGAATTTATCTGTCGTATATTCGAAAGGTGTCATAATAAGATAGTTTTACCATTTATTTATTTATGTAATTTATCTTTAAACATGATAAATGGGGACTCAATTATTGATACAAAGCAAAAAATAGAAATTACTAACTGCGTTGTACGAAAGAATGACTCCTCTACGGTTGCTATCACAGTGACCACACACAAAGAAGAGTTTTACCTTGCAAATTCGATCAACAAATATAGCGAAGTTAGTAAAATAAAAACACGTATTAGAAAAACATGAAGATGAGAGACAAAGATTGTACCAAAGAATAAAAAGAATAAGGTGTGAGAGAGATGGAAAGTGGAAAATGCGAGAGATATAGCGAAGTCAATAAAACAAAAATACATAGTATAAAAAAATGAAGATGAGAGACAAAGATTGTAAGGAGGATAAAAAGAATAGTACGTGATAAAGATGAAAAGTGAGAGAACCATCACTTTTTAGGAACCCTAGCTAGGTTTCCTTCCTTTTGAAGTGAGCTTTCCTTTGTTCCTTAAGCTTGGATGCTTCCATCCATAGTCTAGGAACCCTAAGTCCGAAAAATCTTCACTCCTTCAAGTGTCTTACATTCGGATTTCAAACTCCATTGAAGAGGTCCAAACTTTGGTGAATCCGAGGAGAAAAACATCTACCACTTCTCCTAGTTTTTGCCATCACAAGACGACAACAATAGAAAAAGCTAAAGAATAAAGAGACCATGGGAATCAAGATTCATGAACTTTATCTAAATGATCAAAGGAGTGTTGTCCATAAAAACATCTCAATGCCCTTTCTGGAAGCTAGTAACTCCAAAATCAAGTCTAGCCCCCGAAAGGATAACATTTAAAGTACTTAATTTTCCTGGTTGAGAAAGTAAGCGACGAGTTTGATGATAGCAAGGAAGACTCTAAATCGAACAAAGAAAATAAGATCTCCTTTAAAAGAGAATACAACATATGATGATCTGAGCTAATTTTATAAAATGACTAGAAAAGATCAACTAGGGAGACCAAACAGAAATCATCTACTTTGAATGCAAAATCTCAGTCACGTGAAGATTAATTGTCCCAATTAAAAGAAAAACATTCAAGAAGAAAAACCGAAGGTAAATAATACTTGGATATATAATAATTGTTTAGAAGAGGAAGATGAATAATACGTGGACTATAATTGCTTACAAGAGGAAGATGAAGCTACTGAAGAGGCAAATTTATGCCTGTTGTCAACACCGATGATTAAGGCTCAAAGATAGAAACTCAGCTTATGATATGCTTTTTCAAAAGTCTCATGCCACATCACGGAGTATAATGACATAAAAGGGAAAAATAAAATATTTGATCTAAAAATATTGTAGTGAAATATGACAATATGACAACCTAGCCCTCCCCTTTTTTGTTTCATAACATGGACATCACAAACGAAATGATCACATCGAGTTTGATTTGTCATTGAGATTAGAACTACCAACTTTCAGGATTGATCGCAGAGGCTTGGGATCTTCTTGTTGATCCATGAATAACTTGCTCCTTTTCTTACCCGTTGAAATTATCTCCTCCACGTTGTCATTGATGCTAACAATTTTCTTGGGAGCACGGGGTAATAAATCTCCCACCACATTCTCATCAATATTAATGTTCCTGCATGCAACACTCTCTTCTCTTTGTGTAATCTCCACCTCGGTTGAGCTTGAACCGTGATGTGAACGTGCCCCTAGAGTCACCGTCTTCATGGCTTGTGAAGCCAGAGTTTTCATGATGAAATGGTAGAGCTTGTAACATATGTTTAGATGGAGTTCTCTTTGCTCCATCTTCTAATGTGTCAATGAGTGGAAGGGACAAAATAGATAGATAGATAGACTAATCAAGCCGTGTGCTGAGAATGTGTACAAGTTTTAACTTCACAAGAGATGCTTTGCTTTTCTTTCAAGTAGGGGTGTTCATGGATCGGTTTTTTCAAAAAGCCGATCTAAACCAAACCGAACCGTTTTATAAAAGTGGATCGGTTAACTGATCCATTTTTTATAAAGTGGATCGGTTTGGTTTTTGCTAAAATATGGATCGGTTTTTTTGAAATTGGATCGGTTCGGTGCGGTGCAGTTATCCACTTTTTTACTCACATATGGATCGATTTTTTTAGAAAACCAAACGGAACCGAACCGATCCACTTTGTAAAAATGGATCGGATAACTGAACCGGTTTTATAAAGTGGTTCGGTTCGGATTTTTTTTCAAAATGGATCGAATTTTTCAATATGGATCGGTTCGGTTATGGATCGGTTTGAATCAATTTGGATTTTTTGCACACCCGTACTTTCAAGGCATGGATGGATGATAGCCCCAAAATTCTGCAATCTTTTTATAAAGTTACACAATTTTAATGTGAAACATAAATGCAAGCATGCGGGGTGTTATATGGTAAGACTCTTCATTTACCCCCATGCTCTCTGTGGTCATGGTTAGCTATGGCGTGGCAAGAGGCAAGAGCAGGCGTCTCAAATACGAAAAACACCGTTCATATGATTAATTGCAAATGTCACAGTTCGATTTGTATAGTCAATATAGTATAAATGTAACTTTTTTTGTTCTTGGTTTTTTTGGTAGGAAAATAAAAGTAACATTAAGGCGAGGATAAGGGACACCCAAGGATTAACACATCAATTTGAAAGAAAGTAAGAGTAATTAATTGGATCCCCACTTTAGCCTCTAACCGTTCCCCACCACGTTCCTAAAATACTAAAAGGGGCATTCCAATAATCATATTTAACTATTAATTTCTTCTTTGCACAAACAAACTGGTGATAATAGATTACCAAGCAATTTTTCAAGAGTAGCTGAGAATCTCTTTCGTAGACGGGGAGTAGATGCATGGTTAACTACAATTTAAAAGGCTTGCCTTTCATATAAATCTTCATGTATAGAATTTACTTATGCGGCTAAAATTCTAAATATGTTTAAAAGAGAAATTGAATTTGCATAATTAGTTCTTATATATAACTATATTTGTTATATATATATATATATATATTAATTAGAGAAAAGAAAAGTTCTATTGAAACTAAACATGAAAATTTTTGTTTATAAAAAAAACACGTATAAGCATTTAAAAAAATATTTATAAGTAATCAAATTAGTTTTAAATATTAATATAAATTATGATACCCAAAATTCATGATCGTAAGAATTATATTCTCTCTCTAGTGTGAAAAATAAATCCCCTAACTAAATGTCAAATTTTACAAAAGTACATTTTAATAACTTTTACAAAAAATAAGCTTCATTTGAACTCAAAAAAAAAAAATATTAATTTCACTTATAAAATATAAAAAATATTTTCAAATTAAATAAAATAAACCCAAGTATAATTTCTACCGTGTCGAAGGAAAGAAAGAAATGTAATGTATTTTTGTTTTTTGTCCATAGGAAATTTATTGTAGTAATCGGTAACGTGGTAAAGTACACCAATAATTGGGCTTTTAAATCAAAATTATAAGGGAGACGATAAACACACCTCCACCCTCGTATAAACACACTCTTTTTTTTTTAAAAAATATATAAAATGTCTAAATTACCCTTAAAAAAATGAAATTCCTAAATTTACACCTCCTTTCCCCGCATCCCCCTTATCCTGTATCTGCAAGTAAACTTTAGTCTGGAACGGCACCAGAACGGGCCGTTCTGCAATAAGAACGGCTCGTTCTTCTTTCAGTACGTCCCGTTCTAAAATCAGTACACTCCTTATTGCAATCAGTACGGGCCGTACTGAAATCAGTACGGCCCGTACTGAAATCAGTACGGCCCGTACTGAAATCAGTACGGCCCGTACTGAAATCAGTACGGCCCGTACTGAAAGCAGTACAGACCGTTCTGATTTCAGTACGTCGTACTGAAAGCAGTACGGGCCGTTCTTCTTCAGTACGGGACGTACTGAAGGCAGTACGGGCCGTACTGCACGCGTCACTTTTAAAATGGCTACCCTATGACTGATTTTAAAACCCCGATTTTAAAAGTCATTTTTGTACTAGTATTTCTTTCCATAAAACAAGTAAGAGTCTTTCTCTTACAATACCACCTGCTGACATTGCACACCCCTCTTCTTTCTCTTTGTGGCACTCCTCTTCTTTTTTTTTTTCCCGCACCTCGCACACCCCTCTTCTTTCTCTTTCTGGCACTCCTCTTCTTCTTCTTCTACTTACTGTTACGGAAAGTTCTTTCCGGAATTATATGAACAATAATTTTACTATTCCGGAAAGTACTTTCCAGAATGCTAATGACTGTAAAAGTACTTTCCAGAATGCTAATGATTGTAAAAGAGCCTTTCTTATACTAGTTATGGTGAGACTAGTCCTTTTTTTTCTATTCAGAATGATTGTAAAAGTATATTACTTAATGACATTGAGCGGGGAAAAAGGCTTTGGGAAGAAGAGAGGTGTGGAGTATGGGGTGCGGGGAAGGGAGGTGTAAATTTAGGAATTTCATTTTTTTTAAAAAGGATAATTTAGACATTTTATATATATTTTTTTTAAAAAGAGGTGTATTTATACGAGAGTGGAGGTGTGTTTATGATCGTCCAAATCATAAACTCGACCCAGGCATAGCCCATTTAGCTGCCAACAGGTCCATTATACTCTTTCAACGTAAGTCTCAACTTTCAAGTCTCATTTCTCAACCCACCAGAGGAACGAAGAGATATATATTACCTTATTTTGGTTCCCGCCATCAATGATCACCCAAACTTCATTTCACTACGAACAAGCTCTCCGTTCATTGCATCGTTAAGGTCGTTCTCTCTCCCTCTCCCTTCGACGAATGGCGCTCTTTATTCCTTTTGATTTGATTTTCTTACTGCATGCTGTTTGGTTGCCGAGAAAATGCAAGTCGAAAAACACTTTCAACTCTAACATTATCATTGACGTTGCGATTGCCTCATGTTTTAGTCGCGATAATTCAACTTCTGAACAAGCGTCTCTGTAACTCTGTCAAAATTATTTCTGATTTCATCTGAAAAGGCTACTTAGCAACTAGGAAGCTTCGAGATATTCCACTACGCTCATTTCATGTGCTCTCTTCTGTATTAATCTCTGATGCAACAAATATGAAGAAAAAATGTTGAATAATCTTGATGCAATGACCGATTCTCGAAGTAGTACTCTTGTTTTTTATTGGAAAACCTGATAGTTTCAATTTTTCTAGTCTCGATCCGCATTGCGTCTTCATTTTTCCTTGGCTTACCGATAAACCTTACATTAGATGTTATCAGAAAACAACGTAGATTTGTTTTAAATTTTCAGCTGGATTATAGTTTTTTCTCTGGTTTCTTGTTTCATGTATGAATATCTCTTCCATCGACAGGTTTAACTCAACAATTGCAGCGAAGTATTGCGGTGAAACATCATGTCAAATATTACGGTGTGTGCACGCTTTAGGCCTTCGAATACACAAGAGAAGCAAAACAATGACTCTGGCTGCATTCGATGCATAGACACCGAATCTTTCATTTTCAAGGTTTTTATATGTCAGATTAAGCATCTATTAGTTTTTCCTTTTGTTCATTATTTACTTTAGAGCTATGAAAATCATTACTCAACAAATAGTGCATCACACATTACGATATATTGTCTCATGATCTTGAATTAATTTTGGCCAGGACGAGAAGGACGAAGAATTCGTGTTTAGCTTTGATAGAGTGTTCTATGAAAAATCTGAGCAAGCTGATGTCTATCAGTTCCTAGCTCTTCCCATTGTTAGAGGTACAACCGCAGAATTCTCGCTACAAATTAATTTATATGTCAATGCAATGCAAACATTGAAATCTTCCTTAATGGTTTTTGCTTCCTCATGAAAATGACAGCTCCATTACCGCCAAATAGTGCACCAACTTCGGTTATATGAAAATTCTTATCCTTATAGTTTGCTTAATGCTAATACATGTCTGCACGGTCCTACATTTTCATATTAAAAAACCTTTAACCTTTCTTAACAAAGAAAATCGGGAAAAGGACACTTGACTACAGTTTTTTTTTTTGATACCACTCTTTACATTTTATACGCATTCCCATCAATGAAACAGATGTTGTTGATGCACTCAATGGGACAGTTATCACTTACGGCCAGGTAAGATATCTTAATGCTGTGGAAAATTGCAAGAGATATTGCATCGTACTAGCTTCGCTGAACTATATGATCCCTCATCCCTTGTTGATGCACTCAATGGGACAGTTATCACTTACGGCCAGGGAAGATATCTTAATGCTGTGGAAAATTGCAAGAGATATTGCATCGTACTAGCTTCGCTGAACTATATGATCCCTCATCCCCAGCATTAGCCATGCAATGCCCCTTTTCGAATCTTTTTTGTTTATGTTTGAAGGGAAAATAAAAGAAACTCGTTAGATGAAACGCATGAAATATTTGAACTGTTATTTCAGCGCGTATCCGTTTTGAATTCAATGCTAGCTAATCTGGAAGTAAGGAATGAGTGCATAATGCAAAAGCTGGACATTTCTCTTCTAAATATTTAGCGAAGAAAATTTGCAAAACGTACCATTCTGATAAACTTACATTTCTGCTCGTTAGCAAAAACGAGTTTCTAATTATGATTAGAATCTCAAGAATATTCAGTAAATCCTGTTGGCCTGTGAATATTTAGTTTTTTCTATTAACTTAAGAGAATGTGCTACATAAGTTTTCCATTAGGAGAGGCGGCCGTAATACAATTTTTCATTTCAGAAGAACTTTTCAACGGTATCATGAATCCATTTTTCTTTAGACTCTAATTAATTAGGCTTCGTTTTTCTACAATCATATGCAGACTGGAGCTGGGAAGACATATAGTATGGAGGTGGAAAATTATAATAAAAGTATCCTAGAATGATCTTGTAAAACTTAAAATACCGCAATATCAATAACTACTTCTCTGAGGCAGGGACTCGGAATACTTGAATGTGATGAACAAAAGAAGGGGCTGCTTCCAAGAGTTGTAGAAGGAATTTTTGATTCCTTAAATTTCGAAGACAAAATATATTCAATTAAATTGTCAATGGTACTGAGACACTTACTAGTTAAAACCACACATGACAGGCAAAATCATTCGGTTATAGCATATTATTTTGCTGATTTTTTATTTTTATTTTTTATGATTTCCAGGTTGAAATCTACATGGAAAAAGTAAGGTATGCATTTAAAAAACTTGTACTTTTCCCCTATGTATGTACTTAGAGCAAATTCTGTCGGTTTTTGATTGACAGATTTCTTAAATTTGTTGGAAAAGCTAGTTTTGATTTGAATTTGGATTTTGAATAGTCATCACTCATCAGAATAACTCTATCCTCTTATATAGGGATCTATTTGATTTATCCAAAGATAATATACAAATTAAGGAGAGTAAATCACGAGGAATAATTTTACCTGGTGTTACAGAGGTGAGAGCTATTTTTATGGGAACTTTATACCTCTTTCCATTCTGATTTTTCTTTTTCATTCTGAAGTTACTTTGTTTTTCACAATTAGGCATATTGTCTTACGTATAAGGCTACCATGTGAAATTTTAATTTTGAAACTTGAATCATACCTATATCCTGACATTCAAAAACATAGGTTTTGGCTTTTATTTGATTAGCATTTTTCTTAGAATTCATAAACTTAATAGCCTGGCCTAAGGTTGCTTATAATGACCGTACTGTAGTCCCTTAATGTGATTATAACAAATTTTCAGCAAAATAAATTGTACCTTTATTATTATTGATTAATTGTAACTTTTGGTCTAATGTTGAAACTTGATATAACAAGTGGTATCCAAGAGCTAGGTCATCGTTTTACTTTTGAATCCCTAGGGGGCGGGGGGGTTGTTGTTTTCGTTTGGGCTTTTAGGCTTAATGTCTTGGCCCACGACCCAAGTAACAAATGTAACCCCGTAGGCTTCATGCAGATTGGAAAAGTAAAGTTGTATCCTCATCTCGTGTACTTGACAATCTGACTCATGATGCTTGTAATTGGTATAGCCCTTTAAGCTTGATGTTATTCTTATTCTCGAAAACATTAAGAAAATAAAGTTGTACTATTTTCATTAATTATAACTTTTGGCCAATCCAACGGTAGGTGTAGGATAAGCTTATGAACATGCATACACGTTTGCTTTAAGTCAAATTAGCTAAGGCCTCACTTCTTTAGGTAACAACATCATTTGAACATTGGGCGAAGCACTCCATGAGCTGATTCAGCAAGTAGCGAAGACTGGAATATTTTTATATGCAACATTAAAAGTTTACCTTCCCTTATATGCTAAATGATAGAAAAACAAATATAATTGGCGATTCTTATTCAATTAATGTCATACACTCATATACTATAGTACTAACAAGGACCCTTTGAATTTTTACTTCAGATCACTGTACTGGACCCCGCTGAAACATTACAAAGCCTATCTGTAAGAAAGAAACAAGTTGAATATCATTTTTTTTGTTTGATTTTACAATGTATTCTGGCTTTCTAATTCTGATCTAAAATATGTAGAGGGGAATAGCTAACCGGGCAGTTGGTGAGACCCGTATCCTGCTTTGAATCCCTTAGCCCATAATTCAGTTTATATATATATATATA